GCATTCCGACAAGCTGACGTTTGAAAATAAATGAACATGATTAGAGCTCTTCAGATTATAAAAGATGGAGAGGAGTGAGTTTTAAGTTACACCAGTAACCTTTAACCAGTGGGTTCATAGTGTTCTGAGAGTCCTTACCAGGTAATCTACATCTGCCTACACATCATAAAACGATAATCAATGAACTCTTTAGATATTTTGTTGGTAAATTGTCAAGAAGTAAGATAGATTGACTTCAAAAATTTCATTTTCGTGTAATTTCTTCATCGCTAGTTTGCATATTCAGCCTTCCCAATGATCTTACTTCATCGAAATCAATGAATTTATCTATACACACCATTTTTTGTACTGATCACCTATAGCTTCTCGCCAGGATACTTCTTTACAAATATGATGGTTCAACGTATGCAATACATGTACTAGTCGTGTTAATCAATGAGTGGGCTTAGTCGACTTGTTAATAAGTACTTAACATATCACTTATTGGAAAAAAAAAACAAGTAGATGAGTGACTGATATGATGCCTCTTCTCACTTTGATAGATTGTAACATTTCCTATTCTTTTATTTTAAGGGTCCTATAATTAACAGAAACCTGATATAAGATGTAAACATAGCATACATTTGTAACTGATTCGAATTCGCGTACTTAACAAGCTGTACAGGACGCTGCATTTCACCAACCGTCCTTTACTAAAACAATTTATTTACTAACAATGTCGATAAAGAAAGGAAGACGAAATTTGCAGTATAAAATGATATCATTCTATTTCACAGGTTCTCATCAGCTGCAGACTACCTGAAATTACAATGGTTACAAAAATGATAATAAGATACTTTAATGTTTGAGTGGTAGTAGAGAAGAGATAAAATTGACGCATCCAAAAAAGAATGAAAGCATTACAATTTTTAGTTTAAGTTTTCATCATCAATTTATACGCTTTTAAAGTTGAAAAGAGGGGGGAGGGGTAAGACAGAAAACAGAAAAAATTGATTAGCAGAAAAAGTGTTAGCTTGTAGGTTCACATAGCAACTACTAAGAATGTCTAGGCAAACAGTAATTGCAAGAATGCATGATAAAAGAAAATTATTGTATTTCACGACTTCTGTTCAAAGTTTAAAACCACATCATAAAGAAATGTAAGTACCTGATAGACTTTAATATAGTTTCAACTAGAAGGGCAGTAGTCAATAATCACTAGGTCACTAATGAATCAAAAGGCATCAATGCACGGTAGTTCATATTGAAATAGTTAAACTATAGTTTATTTACACATAATGTGAGTTAAGTGGAGGAGGAAGATAGAACATGTAAGGTAAATATGTGTGGAAAATAGAAATAAGTGACCATTTTAGCAAAAATTAAGTACTACGTTCGGCTTTGAAATGAATTAAACACAGCCAGTTAAAATAAAACAAAGATTGTAGTGTGATGAAAACGTATCCAATTATCAGAAGTGTGCAAGATTAAACACATCATGTTTTCGTATACACTGGTTAGATTGTAGTCGTTTAATGGCAATGACTGCTGTGTAACGAGAAACTAAAGACAACTCTGTACACTGACTGTCTTGAAAGCTGGCTATCATCGATCGTACATCCCAAGTGCACCGCACTCTAAAACACTCGCTTGCCTTCTAGACGTAATTTGTTAGACATATGGCACTGCAAGTGAATGTAAATAGGTAAATACAGTGAGCTGTGACATGAACAAGATACCTATCCACTTTCAACCAAATTAATGAGCAGTTTGTGACATAAAGTAAAACCAACCTAGTGGACAGAGATGTCGTTTTCAGTACACTTTTAATTCCCTTCTTGATTTGAATTAATACTTGATGCTGTTTATACGCGATACCAAAAAGAATCATCATGTTATTTTTCAAAGTTCATTAGGAGCTTTCTGAGATATTCACTTTCGATTAGATTCTTCCCGATAATCGTGAACTCAACACATATCTTGTCTTCGGAACATAATTCTCTTGCTCTAATGAAAAACACTTTTACTACACTCTGTTTTTTAACTAATCGGGCAAAAGGCGTTTTAGCTCAAGTAATGACCTCTACCTTTTCCGAACATACGCTGTTTGATCTTAAAACAACTTACATGGATTTACCGCAAATGGCTTTTCGCTGTGATTCTCCTTATCCAAGAGAACATAATCTACTATCGATGGATACACACACAAGTAGTCCAACTTCAATTTTACTGATAGAAATAACACAAACCTAATTAAATGAATGAACAACAAGAACATGAACCTACACTACTAAAACTTTCAGCTAAACGATTCAATCTTCAAGAATCTTCGATGAGGTTCACATTAACAATCAGAAACACTGTAAATTACTACCATGTATTGATCTGGTCACTCCTAAACTTCGCCTTCCGAAATCTACATTTACCACGACAGTGAAAGTAAGTAGCTACAACACAAATATAATCTACCTAGGTCAATGAAACTACATAATAGGGAACAACCTTTGTTTCTTATTGTTTTATCTTCAGCTGCTGAATAGCTGCACAAAACGCTAGTGATTATACTACGGTACAATAATTATTACCTACACATTTCCTAAACACAGAAGTCTGTTAGGAACAGTCTGGCTGGTCCTATCAATCACCCGACGACTGCTAATGAATATTTAGTCCATGGTTTCATCATTCTTAGATCTTTCGATGTGCTTAGTGGCCAACAGACGAAGTAAAGTCATAAATACAGTATGAAACACGACCCACAATAGGTAATTAAATGATCGACAGGAAATAAACATTCCTACAGAACTCCCAGTGTTTTCAGAGTACATTCTTAATCTACCTAAGTGATATTTCGGTAAATAACTTGTAAGTACACCAACTTAACGTGTATTCATCACAATCTAGAAACCCACTACTTCCGATTTGTTAACTACATACATCAGATTCGCAGCCTACTTATCCAATTATTTAATATCCCACTTGGTTAGTACGGCACAAATGTAGTGCAGTAAGGCCCAGAAGAGATGGGCCACATATAGTAATACGACAACAATATATGGGAAAGAGAACTAAAGCAGTTGAGAGAAAATAGATTAAAATAAGTAAGCATAGTAATAAAACACCGCTCGTGATTTCATATTTTCGGGAACTGCGGCATGCCCATCAGTAATTTTGGTTCTAAGAGATATCATCCGTCAACATGTTGTCTGAGCAGTCGTTATCGCCAGAGCACAGAAAACGTCATCCGTTAAACTACGAACACCTATACAACACATAAAGCTTCCTGCTACAGTTCACATACATGGGTTCCTAAAAGCCTTTCAAAAGTACTTTGCACTCAGAAAGTTCAGCGCACATACAATACTTAGAGGCGAAAACGCCTTGATGATTGGATAGCTTGTATTTCATCGCACAGTAAGGCGATATTATCGATGCATTCAGGATCAAACAGTTTCTGTGGGCAAGAGACCTATACAGCTAGTATAACCTTCAGTATTGTCATCCATGGGAACACAGAAATAGTGCCATTAAGCAGCCCTCCAACTGCCAACTGAGATTAACGGTAATAGTTGTACCCTTACAATACATAAGGCTTCTTCAATAATTGGTCAGTTTCATACAACTAACAATACCAGAGATTGTGCTTTGGGTCACAAACGTCTTCAAAGGACCACTAGTGTTCGATTAATACGAAGTGTGAGTTCTTAAGAAAGGTAGGTACCTTAATATAGGTGACCATAGTTTTGAAGACCGTCTACAGTGACTTACATAACCATTTCAAATGTCATCCTAGCAGCTTCGATAGTGTTCATTGTTCGCTGGACTTTTAGTAATTAACTTATCAGGTTGTGCGTCTGGATGAAAAGTACTCATATGTTAGTATATGGCGACACCGTGAATAAGACCTGAGAAATACTCTGACTTGAGCTGTTAACTGATATGGATCAAATGAACCGAATTTTAAGGCAAAGCACAAAAGTGGATCAGCTCAAGTTGGAAGACCTCACAAAGTACCCAAAAAATGGAAATATAAAGAAACTACGATACACGTAAGCCTACGGGAAAAAATAATTTCATCGAGAATAACAAGAACTTAATAGGTCTGAAAGATCACTAAAAGTGAAAATGACTTTGAGCGACATCACCAGCATTCTCGGTCTATTAATTCTAGGAGTCTCGGAGATTCTAGTCCGTCATTCTACAGCTGTCTATGTGGCTCAAAATTGCGACCAGACTTCATGGAGTGACTTTACTAGAAAATAATGAATGGAGATTTCCGCTCATCCAACCAACAAAAGCAATATGAAACATTCTATCATTCGTCTCACAAGCAATCTAACTTGTTAATGATTAGTTATCATTCTCCTCTACTAATTGGATTGCATCAAATTGCACAGCACAACGTTCGATGCCTGCGAAACATGCCTTCCAGGATTCGTAAGATAAAAAGCATCCAGCCTGTCTTCGCAGACACTTTTATCAATTATCCCCACATTTATAAATTACTATCCATTCTGACAAGTAACAAATTAGACTGATGACACTAACCTACAATATGCTGAGTCATAACGACCAGCTAACAAAATCCTATTGGCTATCAACGTTAACTCACAGACAGTATAAAACTGAAATCCTCACTGATTTATAACAACACTTGAAAATCCTGGTCTCTTGCAGCTGAGAAGCATTAAGCGACATCACAAAACAATACACTACCACCGTTTTCATCTGTAATTCTCATTGTTACCTGGTTGATTGAATGATACACATAATCACCCACAAACCATAACCGTTTACTGCATTTATCCTCTTAAAAACGAATACATTTGGGAAATTGAGGAGTTTTCAGATGCAGTGTTAAAATGGCTTCCTGAACCACTAGATGAAGGGAGACATATGTCTTCCATATGGAAGCGAGAAACAGCTACATTGAAGTTTTGCACGAGCATGAAGTCCGACCAGTGAATACAAGCACATCCAAGACTTCAGATTTCGACAAAACACACAAAACTAAAGCCATTCTACGTCGCAAAAATTACTATATTAGAAACATCTCGCTAAAAGTACAAAGAATCTACTAACAATATCGTTAGATTTCTCCCTTTCATAAGCTTTAAGATATCAGCCACAGAAAAACATTCTTTATTCAGCTGGTTTCGGGAGCTTGATTTCATGTTCGATATGTAATCCAAGAGATTTACTGATCGTATCAGTTAACGCAGTTTTACCATCGCCCCAAGGTAATTTCTGAAAAACAGGTTAATCAATAGGTGCTACGTTACGATTATTTCCCTGGGATAAACAACTATGAATTCTTCTTTTCCCTCCATTTCCTTTTCGTGTCTATGCTCATTTTGAAATGCGATATATGTTATTAAAATGCCGACAGGTACTGTAACAATTGACAACGCCTGTGTTGCTATTTGAGTACCTGCGAAATAAAGAAAACTCTCTTGACAAACTAACTTTTGCTATGGCCAGCATAGCGAAAACGCCACAGGCTAGAACACCTACGGCTTATATGGAGAGGAGAAGCGAATCTGGACATTAGTAACGCCAAACTTTAAAGACCGCACCGGCTGAGAATCCAAAATCCAATGCCATTTTTACGAAACCAAATTGGTTTCTTTGTGCAGTAAGGTAAAGTTTCTTGGTCTCCGGTAAAAATCAGCCTCAGTGTATCTATTCAGTCGACCGTCGTAGCTTAGGTAGACTCCCAAAAGACTGCTGCTGGGATTTATTATATTTGGACTGTAGCATGTGGTGTGTTGAAAATATGTTGCTACTGTGAATGGAGTAGATCGCTTCACCCATTAGTCCCTCCGCGGAATCAAAAGGAGATATGATAGGTATAATTACTGTAGGTTGTGTAGACCTGAAAAATAAAACGTTCAAACTGATGGCTAGATATGTTTGAAACTAATACCTACATATATATTTATTTCACTGATAATGATATTAGTGAATAAACAGATGATTTAGTCAGAAACTTAGGACGATGGAGGATGGGAAGTAGTAAAGGACGAGTTTGGGTGAATACCATTAATAGTGTGCAAGTTTTAAAGGTATAGGCCGTTTGGACGCTGTCTGTGTGTCGCTGCATGATTGTCCAGCCTCCACTCAAAGCCTTCCACGAAGGCTGCTGTAGCCATACGCGAGAAACTCGAAGAGAAGAAAAGTGAGAGCGCACTCGAACGTTTTCTCATCTATGTGCTATTCTTCCTCGCTGCCACAAGGAAACCAGTAGGCATTTTATGACGGAACAACTTTGTTTTGGTGATTCAGTTCATTTGTAATCTTACTGGAGGTAATTAAGTTCCCCCTTAGTCAGAGGTAGTTAAATGTGGAAAGACGTAATTTCTTTGGCCTTTCATCACAGAGTTTATTCCGAGGACTCATCACCCGTTTACTCCCGCGTTGTAGAACTGCTTCTAAAAGGTTGGTATTCTTTCTGAGTAATATTGTGCACACTGCAATAATAATAACGGAATTCCTATGAGCTTTATGCTTACTGAGCACGAAAAGAGACATTTCAAAGAAAGAAGTATATTTGATATTGGACAAACTGATTGCCACGTCTGCGATAATTATGTCTTTCATTAATTTGCACTTTACATGCTAATTTTCATTTTTGTGTAAATTAGGCAACTTTGTTTCTCATTATGGACTGCTGTATATTATTTGTTTGGATGCACTTCTTTGCTAATAGCAAGCGAATTTCATTCAGCAACCACATTCTTTGGGTTTGAACGCCGAGTAACCTCAAAATTTAAGGTTTTCACTACAATTACCTGTAGTATTTTTAAACAAAACAGTTTTATCGTGCACTCCGAACTTCCCTTTTCCGTACAACTCTATCTGATCTTGTTTTGATCTCTCCGTGAAGACTTCAAGTTGGTATCCCCGCTGCAAGCTTGCCATATAGTGACTGGGACATTCGATTGGGCATCTCAGATCATCAGCAGATTCAAGAGCAGTTGAGCATGCCATGGTCCATATTTGTTTCTTAATTACACACCACATAGAATATTGCTGTAGTGCCTACCAATAAATATTATGTTAACATCCGATCCTAATGATGAAAGGGCACAAGCCCAGATGATGTGGTATCATACTGATCTAGTATTGATTTACCTGTAGTGTACATTGTACCTTTGAACTTTTGTTTGAATGAATGCAACCTGACATGTTGAACTTCACTTCCACTTCCGCATTGTATTCCTGAACCTCCTGTACGGTTTCGGGTTCGCTCTCTCGCTGTGCTTTCACCTAGCGCACTCTCTGAGCTTACCGCCGTCTCATCTGCAGATAAGTGTGTATCTCTTATTTCTTATCAAATTCCATATCTCTTTTGTGTAAATACAATTCTGTTCCAGTCACATTTGCCATCTCAAGTCTTTTAACCTTGATTCCGTTTGTTAGTACTTGCACGTTAGGCAGAGTACTATTAAGGCCATAAGCGGTGAATAAGTTTTGTAAGAGTAGTTACTTTTAGGTCGAAGTTAATACCAAGTCTAACTCTTACAAGTGGTGAGCCCGAATTTTCACCGTTGCCTACTTTTTAGCCTAGCGTGTAAATAGTCCTTTTTCATATTGGTAATTTGTTTGTCATACAGAGTTGTAAATTTTTATTTGCCTTGTTTTTACTCGTATTTTTTGTTGTTATCATATTTGTTGTCATTTTATTAATATATCGTCTCGTGTGCAAAATGACTGACGCCAGTCCCGCCTCAGAAATGGCTATTACCTTGCAACTCCCCACCTTCTGGACTCAGCATCCTGCCCGATGGTTCGAACACATCGAGGCTATGTTCGCACTTCGTAATATACACTCACAGGAGACTAAGGTGAACCTCGTTATAGTAAGTCTTCCTGAGCACGTCATGGAAGATGTATCTGATGTCCTTGCGGACCGATCCCCGGGCTTGTACGAGCGTCTCAAGCAGGCGCTTATTAAGCGCGTGGCACTTACCGAACAACAGAAAGTGCAGGAGCTATTCCGAGATGTCCACCTAGGTGATAGAAAGCCCACCCAACTGTTACGTCAAATGAGGCAGTTGGTGGCCGACTTCAAAATAGATGATGCCTTCTTGAAACAGCTGTGGTTACAACGGTTACCCCAGACAATTCAGACTATTTTAGCCCCAATCAACCATTCCCCCTTATCTGAGCTAGCTGAGGCAGCCGATAGAGTAGTAGAGACTACTACATCAAACATGAGTATCTCGGCTGCCGTTACCGCTAGTTCCACGCAGACTAGGACCTCCTCTGCCGTGGAGTCATCCAACGTTGATGTGGTGGCTCACCTCAATAAGCTGTACGAAGAGATAGATAAGTTAAAACTCGATAGGAGATCTAGAGGTCGTTCACATAGCCGCACCAGCTCAATTCGTGGCAGATCTTCGTCACGAGCTGGCAGCAGACGTCGTAGGCCTAAAAATTCCCAGCCTGGAGTGTGCTGGTATCACCGGCGTTATGGTGATAAGGCCCAAAAGTGCACTCGCCCGTGCACCTTTGATGGCCAGCAATCGGGAAACCTGTAAGCCAGCACGTATTGGCGACTAACGTCGCTGGCGAACCACTTCCATGTCGCCTCTTCTATGTTACCGACCGTACCACTGGGACACGCTTCCTAGTTGACACTGGGGCGGAAGTTAGCGTGATCCCACCAACATCTGAAGAGCGCAAGCGGCCACTTTCCTTACAGCTTCACGCCGCAAATGGTTCGCCAATCACAACGTATGGCAAAAAGTTCCTGGACCTTAACATAGGCCTACGTAGGTCATTTCGATGGGTTTTCCTTGTAGCAGATGTAACTACTGGTATTATTGGCATGGATCTCATGCAACACTATCAGCTACTGGTTGATACTGGCAAACACAAACTGATCGATTCAGCTACAAGCCTTTCGATCTCCGGTGTTGTGACACTCACACCTGCATTAAGCCCAGTATACTCAACCCCTGCCTCTAACGGCCCTTACGCTGAAGTTCTTCAGTCCTTTGCCAATCTGTTCAAACCGGTTTCTAAACTTCCTTGTGTGACGTCTACTGTCACTCATCATATCGTGACCACTGGTCCACCGGTCTTCGCTAAACCACGGCGATTGTCCCCAGAAAAACTACAAGCCGTGAAGGCTGAATTCGAACATATGTTAGATATGGGGATAATCCGTCCTTCCAGCAGCCCGTGGTCTTCCCCTTTACACGTGGTACCAAAGCCTAACGGGATAGATTGGAGGCCTTGTGGTGACTACCGCAGGCTTAACGCACAGACCGTACCTGATCGTTACCCCGTACCACATATTCATGACCTTACGTCGTCTCTCAAGGGTGCCACGGTATTCAGTAAACTGGACTTAACCAGGGCCTATCACCAGATTCCAGTTCACCCAGATGATATTCCTAAGACGGCAGTGATCACCCCGTTTGGTCTTTTCGAATTTCTTCGAATGCCGTTTGGACTCCGCAACGCCGCACAAACATTCCAGCGGTTTATTCACGATGTTTTGCGAGGATTAGATTGCGCACATGCTTACCTCGACGATATTCTCGTGGCTAGCCCAGACGAAGCTAGCCACCGTACGCATCTCCAGATGGTTTTCGAGCGGCTAACAGCCCATGGTTTGACGCTAAACATGTCCAAATGTCAGATTGGCGTCCATTCATTGACCTTCCTGGGACATGTCATTAATGAGCAGGGAATTCGCCCGCTACCTGAGAAGGTACAGGCAATACGCGACTTCCCGGAACCTGCGTCAATGAAATCTTTGCGCACATTTCTCGGCATGGTGAGCTATTATCGACGGTTCGTTCCCCAATGTGCACACATTTTACTGCCACTCACAGACCTACTAAAGGGTAGGAACAAAACGTTCAGCATGACATCAGAGGCTCGAGAAGCCTTCCAGAATATAAAGTCGGCAATTGCAGACGCCACCATGCTAGTCCACCTGGACGTCCATCTTCCACTTAGCATCTCAGTCGACGCATCTAACACAGCCATTGGAGCTGTTCTACAGCAACTGGTACATGCTTCATGGATACCAGTTGCCTTTTTCTCCCGGAAGTTGTCCGCCGCTGAAGCGAGGTATAGCACCTTTGGCAGAGAACTCCTCGCCATATACGCGGCTATCAAACATTTTCGCCACTTTGTTGAAGGTCGGAAATTCACAGTATTTACCGATCACAAGCCACTGACGTATGCCCTCCACACTACTACGGATAGATATTCCCCACGCGAACTGCGTCACTTGGATTATATCTCTCAATTCACCTCGGATATCAGACATATTTCGGGGGTTGACAATGCTGTGGCAGACGCCTTGTCTCGAATATGTACCATATCGGCGCCTCCAACAATTGACTTGAAACTAATGGCGCAACGTCAGCTTACAGAGTTAGACCTTGATAAGCTGTCGTCAAATACCTCCTTACATATCAAGCGTATCCCGCTCGTTAATAGCGAGGGTACCATCCTCTGTGATCTGTCCACCGGTACCCCGAGACCCATCGTTCCCCCTTCATTGCGCCGTACAGTTTTTGATAGCTTACACAACCTTTCCTATCCAGGTATCCGGGCAACGGACAAACTAGTGTCAGCTAGATTTGTCTGGCCTGGTATCAATTG